TGTCAGTAATCCAGGGGACCAGGGCAGAGGTTAGGAGACCTTTGCCCCAAGAAGGAAAACTGTGTTATTTCATACAGCATATTGAGTGTGACAGAATTATGAGGAAATCTTCTGGTTTAAAATTCCCCTTCCCATTTAACCAGGCCAAAGCAGTCATTTTTGTAAAATTAACTCTAGCTAAAATTCATCATCAAACATCCAAATTAATTGGTTTCAATTTCTGGACAAACACCCTAAAGCCTCAGAGATAAATTACTACTTTCTAAATCACTGCTCTATTCCCAGATTAGCATTTGTAACACTGTCACAAATCCCCACAGCCCACAATTTACTCAAAATGGAATCAGCTTTTATCCCGTTTTCATTTAAAAACCGAAGGCGTTAAAGCTGTGGCAGACAAATGTACTACTGCTGCAGTAGCACACTGTACCTTTTCTGAACCATGCTACATTGCACGCAGTGATTCAGACTATTTAAAAGTTAAGCCACCTCCACAGTTGATTTCTTTTAAAGAAGCTAGTGAGCTGATGAAGGTGGGAAGGGAAAAAAAATACCTGCTGCTATTTATAAATTTCAGCAAGTTTGCTTAGAATCTGACCTATACAAAATAAAATAAAAAATTCAACAACCAAAAGAGACATCGAAAATTCTACAAGACACCATACACACAGTCTTAAAACTCAGATGTAAACTAATTCCACTTCATCCTGAAATGTCCACTAAATACTTGAGGCATACAGTTACAAGTTAGACATAGTAAAAGGAATTTGGATTTTGTGTATCAGATGTTTTAACTTCATAGCATAAATTTGGACAAATGCTTTTTGAAGAGTTTAATTTGTAAAAGATTTAGCTTTTATCTGAATGAAGTCACAGTAACTTCCCAGTAGTCAAAAATTTACCTCAAACTTAGTCAAAGGACTGTTTGGTTTAAGGCTTACAGAAATAGGCCAAGAGTCTTAAGATGACCAGAGAATGGATGTGTCCATGGCAGTGGTGGCCGATATTTTGCCAGTGGCCACTTCAGAAATTTCTGAAGTGGTCCCAGGCTGCACCAGGAGGAGTGTGACCTCAAGCGGAAGGAGCATGGCCAGGATACTTCCCTGCTTCCCCACCCACAGACCCAGATTGATCTGAGGGTGGAGGAGCACCTTTGCCCCCCCCCCCAAGGTTCCCCCTAGGTGCCCATGCCCCTGGTGGTGGGAGGAGACTTCATGTGCTCCCCCTTCTGCCCCCAAGTCAATCAGGGCTTGGGGGCGGGGAAGCACGCAAAGTCTCCTCTCGCCCTGCCAGGAACCACATGCTCCTGGCATGGCAGAGGAAACTTTATGTGCCTTAGGGCCTTTGTGGGCTGGATCAACCCAACTGGTGGGCCACATCTGACCCGTTGAGGCCCTTTTGTCTACCCTTGGTCCATTGTATTAATTAGACAAGACCATAGTAAAGAAACAAACAAAAAAAAGTAGTCCAAATACTTGAGAAAACATCTATAAAAGTCTGTTTAGACAAGTCAATAGTTTACTTCGCATATACATTTAGCCTTATTTATATTATCAATTTGTTTTTAAATTTAAGGGACTTTTTAGCTAAATATGGAATTCCAGAGAACAATTTCAATGTCAGTGGCTAACGTTAAAATTTTATGAAAATAATAGTAATGTTTCTATATCTATATCTATATCTATGTATATATAGACTTTCCATTCAGCTTTTTGCCTAATGGGGTTTTGTCTTAAAAAAAAAATCCAAGACCCAAATGTTAAGCAACATATTACACAAGCACGGGAACAGGTTACATAGGGAGATGGTAGAATCTTCACCCTTAAATACATGTAAGGGCTTGACAAAGCCCAGTCTGGAATGATTTAATTGAGGTTGGTCCTGCTTTAAAGCAGGGAGTTGGACTAGATAAGCTCCTGAGGTCTCTTCCTACCCCAATCTTCTAAAATGCTATTATAACTTTAAACATATTTCAAGGTATTTTGAAGTGCCCAGGAACTTCTACTGTAGGCCATTTTTTGTTCAAGTGAGTAAATTTCACATTAGCACGATAGAGAGCTGCAAGTGGGTTTATGCTTTGGTATCTGTCATTTAGTCTACTGTGAATAGCATTTTGACACGTGCAGAGTGACTGGAAAAAAAATCCAAATGTGGCAAATTTTGCAGCGAGTTAAGATTTTAGCACTAAGCTGCACCAAAGTTGCAGGATGGATCTTTTCGGTCAGCCCAACTGAGCCAGCTTCTTCAGTTTCCCACAAGTAAATTCCAAGCTGAGCTTTGGCAGGAGCACTGTTTGCAAAGGCCGGTATGCTTGAATAAATCTGATTCTCTTCTAGTGTCATTAAACCTTTCACGGCTTCCTAAGCACCAGGCTATGCTTCCTGGAATTGTGCATTTGGCAAATGAAATGACTTTACTGTTTGATGTAGTCATGCAATTCCAAACACAACTAACTGGGACTAGGACTGTGGAAACTGTTTATGGCTAAATTTAATAAAGTGGTACACAATTCAAGTACCATCATGTATGCTGTTGAGCTTCGCCTGCTCTCCTTTAACCAGGAAGCATTTTCATTATTGGAGGTGTATGACAGACTCACTCTCTGATGTCATACGACAAAAGTTGCAATATGCAAAAATCTATTACCTAAAAGACTAAATAAGATTATCTAAAAGATTAGACTTCCATGTGTGGCAGGGAGAGCAAGACAGGAAGAAACCAAGGCTTCAACATGGGGACTGCTGGAATGGGAATCAATGAGGAGGGTTTACCTGGAGATAGGAAGGACTGATAATTATGTCTACCTTTACTTACAGAATGAAATGCAAATGTGCCACAGTCATCTTAATTTAAATGATCCAACCATTTCAAAAAGTGCTGCATATGTTACATAGATTCAAGTCTGTGTGCAGAAATTGGTGTTTCATCCAGGCCAGACAGAAGACACACAGTTTACCATTAAATGGTACGTGTCGGGTTTTGGGGAGTGTGCACACATTCTGTTTCTAGAGATGCATTGCACTGCTAGGCCATTTCATGGGGTGACGGAGTGGGTTTGGGACAGTGAAGAGGGAAATTGAGCAAGCTCCTATTCCACATCCCAGTTTCAGAACTACATAATGTAAGCCCTCCTCTCCTGTACCATTTTCAGATGTTAAAGAATGGATATCACCATTTATCTTAAATCATTTCTCAACCTTTTTGCTGTTTTAGGCTCTCTGTATTCATATACAGAACTCTTGCAAATCCAAAGCAAAACACTGGTTTAAGCATTACTCTTCCTTACCTTATCCCCAGTGGCAAATGACTATCCAGGGTGTCTCACATTCTGAGTGAAATTTATGAAAATACAAGCCTTCTTTAGGACACGTTTACCTATATATTTCTCAACTCACGTGCTTTAGTAAGAAGTTTAACAGACAGCAAGAATTACCTGGCATCATTTGGAGTGAGTGCATTTCCAGAAAGGCAGGTAGAAGCTGCCCTTAACATACTATTACAGATTTGAAAAGATGTTTAATTAGAATATGTTTTTTATGAACAGACATGTTACTTCCCCAGAGCTAACTGCTATAATGCTACAGTTCAAAAGCTTTATACCACATTCTGGCTGGATTGCAAAAGACTCAAGAAGAAAGCCAGCCTTAAATTCAGTTCTAGAAAACCCTGGAAAACTCCACGCATACAAGCCTGTGAAGAAGAAAAGGGCAAGGGGAGGAGAAGGGTGCTTAACCTTGAAGTATGAGTGGCTTACTGCCCATATAGTTCCTTGCCAGGAGACAGTATGGAATGCTCTGCAGCCAAGCAGACTGCCACGTCTCCAAGATGGGGAACGCTAAATGCACAGGTAAGCATGACTGCCTTGACATGCTGTTATACAATTTGCAGAAAAGACTTTTCCTTTCTTTGTTCACAGCTGTCCTCTTGCACCATTTTGGTGAAGCCAGAATTGGGCCTTGCAGGAGTCTCCTTTCAGCACTGCATGCTAAAGTTTTAAGGCTTATGGTTAAAACGGTCGGGGGAAAATTCTTTGTGTATTTTTGGTGAGATTATAAAATACATAAGTGTCTGCTCAATGATTAAAAATGTATACGGTAAAAGGCAACAGCTCTGATCTCTCTTCCAAATGCCATTCTCTCTATTAACAGGTGATTTTAGCTTTGTAAAATCCAATCCCATAAATTTGCACCTAATGTAGTTATCCCTGGATGAAACAAGTACTATAATTCCAAACCAAATGGAGGTTGGGACACATTGAGAGTGTAATCTCATGTATTTTGAAGATCTGCTCTTTGTTATTTATTCATTAAAACATTTAAGGCAATTCTAAAAATGTAGTAAAGAATAACTTAATCATTTAGAATTTGCTAATGGGAAGCGTTTGCGAGTCTAGAAACTATCAACCAATTTCAATTTGGAAAATAACTCCTCTTGGCATCATTTAAATTTAGCTAAATTTGTTTTAAACAATTTAAAAATTAAAACACTTCCTAAAAAGTGAAAAAACCTAACACTCTTACAAAAGTTATTTGGTTAAGGGAAACAGTTAAACTAGAAACTGACCACACTATGCTGTAGTATGACTAATTCACTTTCATTGTCTGAATAAGGGTACGCCTCAACTACACCCCTTTTTCGATAAAGGGATGTAAATTAGGCACTTTGAAAGTGCAAATGAAGCAGGGATTTGAATTTCCCGCACTTCATTTGCATAATCGCTTCATGGCACTTATTCGAACAAGCGCTATTTCGAAAGTAAAACTGCGGTCGAGATGTGATTCTTTTGAAAAAGGCAGGCTTTTTTCAAAAGCTCCTGTAAACCTCAAAAAATGACTGCGATTTTACTTTCGAAATGGCGCTTGTTTGAAAAAGCGCCACAACGCAATTATGCAAATGAAGCGTGGGAAATTCAAATCCCCGCTTCATTTGCACTTTCGAAGTGCCTAATTTACATCCCTTTACTGAAAAAGGGATGTAGTCTAGACATAGCCAAAGTGACAGAATAACAGCATAAAAAAATTTAAAATTAACTTTATCCATTTCAGATATATTATATAGGTTTACTTCATATCTAATGGTGCTCATAATGTGTGTGTACAATGGATTTAAGTTTTTTTTTTTTTTTTTAAATATTGTCCCTTTAATATTGGCCACTGGAAACACCACATCCTTACAAACTAATGAGAGTCAAGAAAAAATAGTAAGCTTTTATTTGTCTCTTCCCACTAATATTTCTGGATTAGCAGAATTTAACTGTTTTGTTTTTTTTAATTTTTGCTAAGGTGCCATGGACCTTTTAGCAAAAAGCACAAAATAGTCAATGTTGAAATGACACTTCAACTGATTTCATTCTAGTACATTCAAGTTGCATTAACAGTATTAGGCCCTTTTAAAAAGAAAAATTACTAAAATGTTCTTAGATACTGGAACTATAGGGTTTTTTAATTTATATATATAAATAAATAAAAAAGATCAGATCCAAGTTATACAGATACTGAAAACTCTCAAATGCCACAGTAATTTACTTGGTTTTAAAATATGCTTTAACCCCTTCCTCCTGCAACATTTGAAACAAGTTGCAGTAACAAACCAACATCATTAAGTGTGGAAAAATCCTTTCCTTTTCAGTCAGCATGTATTCTCAATGGGCCAAAAACACCCGTTGAACAGAAAAGTGTGAATGGGAGATTAAATTAATTAATGAACTGCATTAGACAAAAATCCACCTCACTGCATTTAGGGTGAATGCATCTAGAATGTACAGTATGTGATCAGAGATGACAAAGCAGCACAGGCAAACTGAGATAACATGGCAGATTTCTTGTTTATATGCTTGGAATTTGTAGTGTTCTTAATTGATAAGCTCGGCTCTGCAGTAAACATCTTTGAAGAGCTTTAATGTGTGCACAATAATGGCCCCATAATTGTGTTGCACATTTTCCAAGTTTTAATTGACATAAAAGTGAGTCCATTGTATTTAAGACACTACACTGATTTCTTTCTATGGCATGTCCTGCTCCAAGTACATTTCTCAGAATACAGTATAGAATAAAAGTTTTGTAGCTTTAAAATTAACAAGTGTGTGAAATCTGTAAGTAAAATAAGCAGCAGCAATAATTTTTGGGATTTTGTCAAGAGTAGCTAGTTTTAAGTAATAAATACATTCCAAGTTGTGGTATTTACTATTCTCCTAGTATATTGTTTTACTTGTCTATTCCCTTGTTTTAGGTTAGATATCCTTAAGACTTTCCTGTCAGCCTCACACCAGAAGAGTCTCCTAACTCCAGTCCAGGTTCCAGTCACCCTTCACAGATAAGCAGTGCAATGTGATAAGGAAACTCATCCTGCTGTCATCTGCATGGCAACCTCAAGATTCTCCTGGGGAGTATGTCAGGATGTTTACAGACTTCATGAAACTCTAGGAGAACAGCTGTGCTCTTATCTTCTGTTACCTTGAAGAAAGTGAAAGAAGGAGAGAGGTTATTGCAAGTGGCACAGAACTGACCAATATTAGCTGTGAGAGGCTCACCTTTCCTTTACTTCATCTAAATATAGCCTGGAACTCGCCTGGTCAAAATTTGCATAGCAAACTGAAAACATAGCAGATACAGTTTTGTAAGAGCTTCATTGAATTAACAGCTCTAAATAAAAGTCTGAAATAAGCAACAATACTGTTGAAATTTTTGAAGAGTTGTCATTTTAATGGTGAAGAACAGACTAACTGCTAGCTAGCTTCGTATTTAATTCTTAAAACAACTCACTTTTCAGTGTAGGGATACTATAAGTTAACTATATGCGAAGTCCAGCATAAGAGGAGACCTATCTGGAGTTTTAAAGATTCTTATTGTCCATTTTTCCCTTGTGACTTGTACTTCCCAAATATATAAATAGGAAAAATGTTCTTTGTGGACTCCAACCTCACTAACTCTTAAATAAGGAACAGCAGTAATTTAAATTATCAGATGCATGTTTAACATCTGAATCTTCAGACAGAAATGTACATTTTTTATTTTCAAAAGAAAAAAAGTTAAAAATAAAAGCAGCAAGAGATGTTTCCTTCCAGCCACCCACACTCCAGAATGGAAATGAAAGAATCAGAAATGAGTACATTTCATTTAATTTTAAATTCAAATAGTGTTGAAGCAGATAAGACATAGAATGATAGTGAGATATTACTGTTAAATCAGATTAACACAGAGTATTCCCCCTACACCTGTGGTCACCAACCAGTCGATCGCGAGAGGCCTCGACCAGTCAATTGTGAGGCATTCTGGGCCCCCCATTTCCTCCCACCCCCAAGAAGCCCCACTACCTACCTTGAGCAACAATGGAGGTAGTGGCAGTTTCCCATGGGGTGGACAGAAGTCCTAAAGCAGCGCATCACTTCCAGGGATTCCGGAAATGCGCTAGCTGTTTCCTTGCCCCAGCTCCCTGACGTTCTGGGGACTTACTGGGTAAGTCCCCAGAGGCACGCGCTGGGACTTCCCTTCTCTGCGGGGAGGAGGAGTTGGCCCCGGAGGGGGCATGCGCTGGGGCTTTCTTTCTCCGTGGGAGGCTCACGCTGGCCCCGGAGGAGGTGCACGCCGGGGTTTCCTTCCTCCACGGGAGTGGGCGGGATGGGGGAATTGGGCCTGGAGGGAGGAAGGAGGTTTACAGGATCTGTTGAAAAAGGCTTTCTTTCTCAACAGATCCCCCTCTAGACTGCTGCTTTTTGCTGACAAAGTGCAGAGTCGGCAAAATGCGGTGGCCATTTTTATGCAAATTAGGCATGGGATATTTAAATCCCTGCCTCATTTGCAATGTCGACCTGCCTAATCTGCATCTCTCTGCTGACAGAGGGATGCAGTCTAGACCTACCCTAATTCAAATCTCCAGACCTGCACACACCTGTTTTTTAGAGTAATTTAAAATCCAGATTCAGTATGAATTTTGCACAGGAACCGAACCTTATAAAAGTCAGAATGAAAAGCTGCCACTTGTACCACTCTCACACCAGTATAACTTCATTGATTTCAATGGAGAGATAGGATGAACCTCTAGTTTGGCACACTCAGGATTTGACTGGTGCTGAACCAGAGAATTTGCTATACCACTGTCCTCTGCCCTCCCGGCACCCTGTTTCCTCTCTCCTGCCCCCAGCCACAGAACTCTGTTCCCACTGGCACCCTGTTCCCTGCCCCAGCACCCACTAGCACCATTCCCCAGTACCATGTCCCCTGCTCCCAAATGATTTTTCTGTGGGTCAGTGACCCCTGACTCAAGACAGGTTCCCTGCCCTTCTCATAAATAAAGACAATGCAGAAACTTTTTGTGTTTGACATCCTCTCTCCTGCCCCCAGCCACAGAACTCTGTTCCCACTGGCACCCTGTTCCCTGCCCCAGCACCCACTAGCACCATTCCCCAGTACCATGTCCCCTGCTCCCAAATGATTTTTCTGTGGGTCAGTGACCCCTGACTCAAGACAGGTTCCCTGCCCTTCTCATAAATAAAGACAATGCAGAAACTTTTTGTGTTTGACATAATATTTTGTTTAAAAATGAAGTCTGGCCAACAAACCCCCAATTGGGGCCAAGCCCCGATCTGGCAGCAACCACTCCTGCACTCCTCCTTTCCCCAGAACGCAGCAGAGTTTTTCCAGGATACCGTAGTATAGATATACCCCTCCAACCCGAATTCCTGCACCCTCACATCCACAAGTCTGTGGCTTCCTTAGTACCCCAACACTGCCCAGCCTGGAGCCCTCTCCCCGAGCCAGTGTCCCCATCTCCACCTCCTCCTGCATTCAGATTTCCTCCCAGAGCTTAAACCTCTCACCCCTTCCCACACCCAAATCCCTCATTCCCACCCCAGAGCCTACACATCCTGTTTCAACCCAGCGAGGGTACGGCTAGACTGCAGGAGTTTTACAGGATTCTGGAGATATCCCAGAAACACTCTTCTGCATCCAGGGATGTGTTTGTTCTTCCTCTTTTTTTAGAGGAAGAGCAAACGTGCTCTTTCGGTCACCCCTATATTCTTCTTTCCATGAGGAATAAGGGGGCTTCCAAAAGAATAGGTTTTTTCCTGACATGTGGTCCAGTCTAGACAGGCCAAATGTTGGAAAAACCTTTTCCTAAAGAAGAATTGAAAAAAAAAAAGCAGCAGTATAAGGACTGGGGATAGCAAGTGATGGAGAGAAGGAGAATAGAGAGGCTTCAAGGAAGGGGCAGGGCAGTAGATCTTGGCTTGGTCTGTCATTTAAAAAGTGATCTTGAGTGTAGAAAGGTTGGAGACCACTGTCCTACACCATTCTTGCAGGCTACCAGCAAGAATCATTAACACACCAGATAGGTAGCTATAAATACTTTCCTCTGCTTAGAGGAGTGGCTTGGACTATCACAACTATTAGAGCTTGTGATATGTACCCATTTTATTGGCCTTCGAAAGTCAGACTAAGTCCCAGAAGCTTGGATTACCTGGTTAGCTCAAAGACTAAATTATGAATGCAAGTGAGTAATCGAGTAGTCAACTACCTGATAAGCCTAAGCTTACTGGGTAGTCAAGGCGACTCCTTGTTTTCCCTCCTGCTTGCTACCTCTCTATCAGAGACAGCGGGGCCGAGTGGGGGGGGAAGAGGGACAAGGAGGGGAAAACAGGAGCCAGTGCTGGGAGGAGCCAGCGTAAAAGCCAGTTTCCTGTCAGTACCACCTCCACGATGCTGCCCCTATTAGAGGCAGCAGCTGCCCCTATTAGAGGCAGCAGCTGCCCCTATTAGAGGCAGCAGCTGCCCCTATTAGAGGCAGCAGCTGCCCCTATTAGAGGCAGCAGCTGCCCCTATTAGAGGCAGCAGCTGCCCCTATTAGAGGCAGCAGCTGCCGCTGGACCCAGTGCAAGCCCGGCTCAGGCTGGTCCAGGACTGCTGTAGCTCTGCATTTTAAATGCAGTAAGAGCCGCCCGGCTTCTACTACATTTAAACTACAGAGCCGCAGCGGGGGTAGCTCCTGGACTGGCACGAGCTGGGATAGATCACCTTCACTACACCGACTATTGGTGTAGTCAATACAAATTCTATCAACTACACAGTTATCTACCTCTTAACTTCCTTTGACTAAACGTAGATGAAGTGTTCCAGTACAAGAGAGAAGCTGTCAATATAATGAGCTTCTAGAGCGGTTACTGTGCATCGCTCCAAAGCCTAGAATGTTTGTGGAGTCAGTGCGAAGTGATGGAAACAGCTACAAATATGACTGAGAGCTCTTTTTGCTCAAAATATCGCCAGGTTCAATCACCAGTATTCACAGTCTGCTACTGTCCAATTTGTTAAGTTCTTAGCCATTTTGACTTTACAAAGTTACACATCTGAGAGCAAGGCATGTATGTGTGTCAAGCCAAGAATTCTAGACCATGAGAGGTAACATTCAATCATCTTACTCAGATCATTTCTATGCACTAGTTTGACTGGTTGAATGGAAAAGATTGAACGGATAGATTATTTGGCCCAAGTACTGCACCTATGCAACACTTTCAGCTACTCATATGTAATACAGTCACAATATTTAAAATGCTGCATTCCTCCCCCTCTGATATGAACAGCATGTGCTAAGATTATTAGGCAGAAGATAGGATTGTGGAACCTGTTATCTGGCCTGCAGTAGTCCTGGGCAGAAGGCCATATCAGTAGGAGGGTTTTATTTGTTTAATGGAAGAGGCAATATCTAACAAGGCTAAGATTTTACCTGGAAGTCCTTGCAACTTTGCCTGCCATTCTGTTAGTAACGCTGCTATGCAAGCTGTACTGAAATTGTGCTGCAATACCTCAGCAGGATCAGTGAGTGGCCTTAAAAACTTACATAGCTATTTAAACACACACCCTTTAAGACTGGAGTAAAACTGGTTAAGAATAGAGACGGATCAGAGCAAGTCAGGACATCCTGTTGACAAAGGGTGGGTGAAAACATCTGAGGTCATCCACAAGTTTTTTAAACATTTTCCTCTAGAGAAAACAGGTCACCACACATGAACTTCAAAGTACTAGTACTAAAATCATGATCAGTCCTAGCTCAAATAAAATTATACTATCAGTAGAATTCCACGTTTACCTTTCTGATGGCTAATGGGAACCAATGCAATATCATAGCTTAGGTGGAAGATTTTTTTAAAAAGCCTTAGAGTTGATGTCCAAAAGTTGGATCATGAAAAGAAAAATCCATTATATAATGTTTTAATTGGCTTAAACAATTATTACATTTCCATGCACTGCTAAAAATGCATCAAAGCCTCCTGTTAGCATGAGAAGCTAAAAGTGAAACTGACCTGCCTATCCTTGCTGTCCAAGGTGACTGAAAACCCCCCACAAAAAACAACAAAAAAACCCCAAACTAAAAAAAAAAATCCCCCAACCACCCAAAAACAAGACAAAAAAAATCCACCCCACCATATTCTGTAAACATGATAAAAAGCTAAACTTTCAAA